CATTTTTGTCTTTCACGTTTATTATATAAGAATCTAGGCCTATTACATATATGGTATGAATCATGACAGTCGATATTCTGGTTCTCTTCCTCCTTTTTTAGAATTCAGAGTTGAGACCCATGCTCTCAGCAAAATAGGTCAGGCAATCCATGTTCAGGGCCGCTTCAGTGTGTCAACTTCCACATAAAACTGTGATATCGTCAATCATTCCAAAACGTCATTCACAGATTTCGCATTTTAACATGTTAATGCTCTGCCCTTGGCGTGACCACATGCCCTCAGCGCGACCGCATACGGAACAGGGCACGCACAGATATGACAGGTGCAAGAAAGTTGTTAGTACACCATTTAAAGGTTGGCCACCTCTATTCTCACCCCGGATGAGAATAGTGCAGGCGAGTCTTTTGGCTATTCTCACCCGGTGCGCGTTCACCGTTATAGCCTAGATCTAGGACAACCAATTTTGCGTTCACCCTAAACCTCAGAATTCTACACTGTGATAACAGAAAAATTGTAGAATTTTGTGCCGTGAACAAACGTTCCATTACTACTGTTAGCCTACAAACAAAATGGCGACCCGCGTAGTTCTGCTCGATTCGAAAAGTTAAATAGCCGTAGCATCTTTGTAGACGACCAAATTAATTTACTTTTGTGTTTTAACCAGGGTTGGGTTGATTTAAATCAGTTGATTTTTTAAATTTAAATCAACTTGATTTTTAAAATAAAAATCAGTGATTTAAATCACTTTTAAAAAATTTATTTTTATTCAGTTTTTACATCTTTCAACATTCAGAATTCTCTTCCTTGGTTTCATAAAACAGATATAAGGTTAAGTAGACTAACATAATCATGTTTAAAAGTCTGCTTTCCCTCCTTTCACTGTAAAATAATACAGTATTCAATTTACTTTTTTTTCCAAAATTGAAATCAGAGCTGGGTTGATTTAAATCAGTTGATTTTTTTATATTTTAATCAACTTGATTTTTAAAATAAAAATCAGGATTTAAATCACTTTTTAAAAATAAAATTGTATTCAGTTTTTACATATTTGAACATTCAGAATTCCTTTCCTTGGTTTTATTAAACAGATATAAGGTTTAGTAGACTAATATAATCATGCTTTTAAATTTAAAAAGTCTGCTTTCCCCCCTGTCACTGTAAAATAATAGTAATACAGTATTCAATTGACTTTTTTTTCTTAATTGAAATCAGGGTTGGGTTAATTTAAATCAGGTTGATTTAAATCAGTTGATTTTTTAAAATTTAAATCAACTTGATTTTAAAAATAAAACTCAGTGATTTAAATCACTTTTAAAAAATGTATTGTTTTTACATCTTTAAATATTCAGAAATCCTTTCCTTGGTTTTATAAAACATAAGGTTTAGTAGACTAATAAAATCTTGCTTAAAAGTCTGCTTTCCCCCTTGTCACTGTAAAATAATACAGCATTCAATTAACATTTTCTTTCATTATTGAAATTAACATTTTCTTTTTCTTTTTAGACAAACACAAGCGCGTGCGCACACACACACACACTGTAATAAAATGCAAGTTTATCTATGCATAATTACCCCCCCCCCCTTCCTTTTAGACTGACATTTTCTTCATTTTTTGTCTGTAGCCATAAATTCACTGATATAAATATATATATGTATATGTATATATATTTATATATATATATATATATATATATATATATATAATACTATTATAGCAGATTAAGGCTTTCTTTTGCGGTTACTTAAATTAATCATTAGGTAAAATAAAGACAATGCATTTTGCACTAAAAGAACATACTTTTAGCAACCAAAAATCCCAAACTGTGTCGACATTTAAAAAAAAAAATTAAAAAATCCGATTTAAATATAAAAAATCATGATTTAAATTTTAAAAATCAATTTTTTTGATAAAAATCACCAACCCTGTTTTTAACATCATTTTTAACTTTGTTTTGGTCAATTTGATCGTCCACACTGATAGACAGTATTCAGAAAGAGATTGAGAGAGAGAAGAGGGGAGGAGTAGATCTTACTTGCGAGAACTTCCAGGCAAAACAAAATGGCGACCCCCGTAGTTGGTTCGATTCGAAAAGTGAAATAGCCATAGCATCTTTGTAGTCGATAAAATTAGCTTACTTTGTGCTATAACTTAATCTTTTCTTTGCCTTTATTATTTTATATCCATTTGATCATCCACATTGATAGAAAGTATTCCGAAATTAGGAAAAACAGGTCTTGTTTCACACCGGGTGAGAATAGCCTACGGTGGCAAGTCTCACCCGGGGTGAGAGGTCGATCGTATTTCTATTCTCACCCCGGGTGAGAATAGCCACTTCCTTAAAGGTTAGTTAGTAAAATCATTTCTTTATCAAATTATGATGAAAACAATTATCTTATTAAAGACAGAGGGTACAGAGACAAGTGGTCGAGGGTTGGGCCAGCTACTCTAGTTTAGTAACTGAAGAAAACTTCTCTAAGAATGTTTCTGATAAGCCTTTCACTTCGAACTTGACTGCTGCCTTAGCAGACGACTGACGTTCTCGGAAAAGGATTGACCAAAAGTGGAACTAGACAAGGCACGTAACTCTAATAAAACAGATTGCACACGAGCTGCACACAAGGAAAAATAGGGAACTGGTCGCGCTCAGGGCACGGTCGCGCCAAGGGCGGATGTCTCTAGATTAATATAGATATATGAGCTTTTGCCAAAAGGTGGGGGTGTTTGCATGAGGACTTTTTAAATCAACCACTACTTATGGAAAAATATGTTTTCTACTGAAAACGTAATGCATATGGCAAGGAAATAAGTTGGTCAAGCTGCATGAGCAAGTAGATTGATGTGAGCATCCTATATCTCTTCATAGAAAGATAATAGTACTAAAAACAGGGCATTTTTTACTCATCCTGAGTGCACACGTAATTGTATGTTAAATACAGAATATTGTAAACCTTAAACTATCAAACAGTAGTGCATTCAAACATTGAAAATATTCAGTATACACCATCATAACACCGTGTGTCCACTAACAGGGTTTTATTTTTTATATTAATGAATAAAACAGATTGCACACGAGCTGCACAGAAGGAAAAATAGGGAACTGGTCGCGCTCAGGGCACGGTCGCGCCGAGGGCGGATGTCTCTAGATTAATATAGATATATATAGAATCTAGATCTAGATTCTAGATCTAGTCTAGATTCTAGCTCAAACTCAGACTAGACAGTCTAGATCTAGATTCTAGTTCATAAAATCATTCCATAGAAGTAGAAGCAAAACCAAAAGAGATCGAAGACTGGTTTTTAAATCCCCCAAAAATTACGAAGTGGCTACAAATAGTACTTTAGGTACAGCAAACTAAAAATTTATTTACAATTCAGTAGGTCTATTAAAAAAAAAAAATTTGGTTAGTCTAGCCATCATATTTAAAAATAAGTACGGCTAGCCCAGCTGTCTACTAGCATAGCAGTCTAGCCGTCATTAAGTACGGCTAGCCTTTTCCTCTAGCTATCTAGACCTAACAATTGTTTCTGATATTGTTTGCACAAAAGTAGTCTTGTTCATCTCTCATTATATTATAATCATAACCATTTGAGTTTGAGCCAGTAAGTCGAAAGTAAAAGATGCTTGGATAACAATAAGACGGTCCACTATTTCCTGTCGTCATACGATACCTAGATCTAAAAATGTTTGATCTAGAGTAGAGTCGGGTAACTTCAGCACTCTCTAGGCTCAATGCAAATTATGCCAGTTTCGTCTGCAACTTTTTGTAGCCAATGAAAATGCATATATATAGCCCACTGTTTGGTTTCCTTGCTAGTTGTACTTCATCTGCTTCGTTTTTTTTTTCAAGTGAAATGGTGACGGGGAACTTCGCTACCATATCGGGGATATTCGCCATACTGGGAAATCATCTTAGTCTAA